GACTGTAGAGCCATAGATAGATAGATAAATGTAATTAGGTATATTTTATCGCTGTATACACGTTTAGAAATAATGTTGAATTAGTACACGTTGTATGTATAATAGCAATGAGGAGCTTCGTAACTTGTACTCTTCTCCAAGTATAATTACTCGCAGAATGATGGAAGTCAAGGAAGATGAGGTGGGCAGGGCATGTAGCACGAATGGGGGAGACGAGGAATGGGTATAGGATATTGGTGGGAAAGTCAGAAGGAAAGGGACCACTGGGAAGACTAAGGTGTAGGTGGGTGGATAATATTAAAATGGATCTTAGAGATATAGGATGGGATGGTATGGATTGGATTTATCTGGCTCAGGATAGGGACCAGTGGAAGGCTCTTGTGAACACGGCAATGAATCTTCGGGTTCCATAAAATGCTGGGAAATTCTTGAGTAGCTGCAGAATTGGTGGCCCAAGTAGGGCTCAGCTCCATGAGTAAGTAAGTAGAGCACAATAGATCATTGAAGGTCGCAGTGCGGGGGCCGGTTTTTATGGCCCACCCCTTGCATACAAATAAGTAAGTTTATGTATAATAGGTGTTTGCTTGATTCTCTTAAATCTGGTAGGACATCCGGTGTCCCATCAGAGATTCGAACACATCATTTGCCGAATAGAATTCAGAAACGTTACCAGCCGAATCCGCTATCCCGGGGAAGATGTCTTAGTTTCGTTAAGGGCACCCAAAGACTAACAAAACAACTATGTCTTTTCTGCTCATGCCAACCAAGGCAGTATTAATTAAATTCCAGAGTGAGGGTCTGAAGTGTCTGCGGAGTACCACGTGCACACCGCTGTGTCACGATGCGGTCTGCGACTCATTAACCACAGGAGGACTAACTTTACGACGCGCGTAAACTTGGAACTTAATTGGGGCAGCGGTTCCCAGCAAGGGGCAGGCTGTCTCCGCTGGAGTCAAGAGTTTGTGTTGCTACTGTTGGCAGACGTGGAGTAAATTCCTGACTCCACGCTCCCTGAACCTTTGTATTGTTTATAATTTTGCTTTTATAATTTTATACTGCGTCGCATCCAGGTTAGGTCCCAAGTGGGGCCAACTATTTTTTCTTCTTCTAAGGCTTAGAGGGCAGCGAAAAGATCTGCTTACGGACTAATTCTTGTTGATCGTCGTAGAGTTTTCAGGATAGGAGAATGTTAAGAGAAATGCATTTAATTTTGGTATATATCATTTTTTTAAATTTTTAGTTTTTCCCAAAATCCCAGGTGGAGCAAGCAAAATAAAATTATGGCTGTTGTATATCTCAGATTGTTTGCGTGTATCGTCGAATATCATCATGATTACTGAATGATGAAATGAAAAGGACATGGAAGGAAGCGGTCGTGACCAATCTCAAGATACTATCCTGGCATTCGTCTAGAGGGACTGAATGAAACCAGGATTAACTGTGTTCCTGGCTAGATTCGAACCAGTCTCCTTCCGTAGACAAGTCAAAAACATTACTTCATGAGCCAATATACTCCACAAATGGAGCTATTAAATGCTATATATTAAGGTATATAACCCAAGATACGAGCGAGAGTCAGTAAATAGGTCACAAATGGATATAAAACGTCAAGCATGTGATATTCGGACCTGAAAACAAAACATTTATTCCTCGATATATTCTCCATTTCTCCCATCGCTTTACCAGTGCGTCGAAACCCTCAGCACAGAAGTCTTTTGATTGTTGTCTCAGCCACTTCCGCGCCTGGTCGGCCATAATCTGCGGCTTTGGAACGCCGTTGAGAGAATTTATCGACCCGTTTGTGGAATACTTCCCATCCCAAACATTTCTTTATGGATAGTCTTTTCATCGACTACTTTCGCCCACAGAAAACACACAGCAGAACTCTGCTCTTCGGTAGTATACTTCTCAAGCACGGTCCCCATTTTGACTACTGAAACGAGGCTCTGAACATGCGCATGTGCGTCTGATACTTATACGGTCATGAAGCTGGATTTTGCTGCTACCTAGTGATACGAATAGAAAACCTATTACAACTATTTCAGCTGTTTTATTTCAATTTGTGGCTTATTTACTGACTGCCCCTCGTATATATAAGTATGAAAGAATGAATATCCACTGTGTTCTGCCTGTGGGTGAGAGAAATCGTTGGGCCCAATGAAGAGAGGTATATTGATTTAATTTTTCATTTTTCTGTCTGTTACAGGTAAGAAAGATATTCTACTTTTTCCATTTCGACGTCTCTCTTCTTCTAACGTCTGCACTTCATCTCTTCGTTATGGCAGCTCAGGAGCACGGCGTAAGTGATGCAACCCGTTGTACTGACTGTCGTTGCTGCAGTTAACTGATGAATACATCAGCAGCTGTTTACTTCAATATCTCGACATGTTTCGATTGTATTGATGATCATCGGGCGATATATAATTTACAAATATGAGTACTTGTTAATGAATTATTAAAAAATTCTTTATTGAGAATTGGATTTACTTCCTACGTGAAGTTTTAAGATGTATCATAAATTATTTATATGTATTGAAAGCCCCAATAATCAGTTAACTGGTTAGTAAAATGTACGCTAAAATACGATAGAAATTTCTTAATTACTTGCTGAATTAAAAAGAAATATTCAAAATGAGATCTTCCGTGTTCGGTGCACAACTCAAAATTCTGTGATATATTTTTACGATTGACTTACTTACTTACTCGTGGAGCTGAGCCCTTTTTGAGGAGCCGCCAATTATGCAGCTATTCAAGAATTTCCCAGAATATTTATGGAAATAGGATGTGGCCCGTATTCATGTGTCTGAGGATAGGGAGCAATGGCGGGCTTTTGTAGACACGATAATGAACATTGGGTTCTATAAAATTTTGAGGGGGTTTCATTGAGTGACGAAAGTTTCACACCTATGCAGAACATTAGGCCAAGTTATAGTGTTGTAATATATGCTACCAGACAACACGGTGTCATGACCCAGAAGTCCTCAGTATTACTCTCTCCTCAGGTTCCCGCAGTACTCTCATTCCTGTCGCAAAGCAATAACGGCAGGCGCGGTCCTTGAGAGAGACGTCCGTGTGTGGGAAGCGGAGGGCGGGTGAGTTCGAAATGCGCCTTGTATACAGATGAGCGCAGGTAGTGGAGACGAAGTGCGTAGGACTGCTTTTCCGTGTTTTTCAAGCGCACTTCGACAATTGTTTCAGCGTCGACGGAAGTGAAATGAGAAGACTGAGTGAGATTTCAGGTTCTCAAGAGTGCTGACCATGAAGATTTGCCTTCTTCTGGGATATGTGGATTTTGTTGCTACGGCGCTGTCCGTATCTCAGACTAAATGACGTCATATTTTAGGGCGATGTATGAATAATTATGTAAAAAAGGCAAAACTATCCCTGTGACAGGCCGTGGAGGCTCCAAAATTTTCTCTAGACAATCGGCTCACAGATGGCGGTAAAGTCAGACTTACGCGCCGCCCGCCCTTTACCTCCCAGGAAGATTCCTGGTACTTATTTCTGTTAGAGGCTGAGTCGACCCCAGGGTCATAGTGCGGCTGGAAGGATTAGGTAAGCTGAAAAAAATCCATTGACCTCATCGAGAATCAAACCCGCTACCTTTCGGCTTCTAGCATAGTGCCTCAACCAACTACACTACCGCGTACCCTGAATGGTGATCTGACAAATGATTTTTAATGTAAGCGGTTATAGCCTAATCAGGTAAGATCTCTGCATTCGGCTGGAGGGCCTGAGGAAGAACATAGAAAGGCGCAGGGTACGAAGAGTACGGTATTCTCAGTTGTAATGCTGTGGCGTTTCGGAAGAACATACCGCCTCCATCATCAGGGTCTACGAGTAAGCCAAGCAAGCAACTTGTTTATTGCTTTGCTTAGTCTTCGAGTTTAAAGGTTGAGGCGATGTTATCCTCCGAAACGTCGGACTGTCTCCGAACTACGCGGAACCACATCCCAGGCCTCAGTACTCTTGTTAGTTACCGCCGTCAGGCTCTGAAATCAACATGAGTCAGGGTAGACCGTGACACGGTCGAGGTTCGAACCGGCAGTATTCCGAATTCAAGTCAGAAGCGTTAAAGCCTCTGCCACTCTCCGGGTTGGTTTCGTATGAAGTGGGACTTCAGACCTTACACTTTACCTTTTACGTTCTTAATTAATTAAATGATTATGCACCACGGAGTCAGGTATGGTGGAGTGGATGTATAACTCCACTCATTCGTAATCCAGTTGTTAGGCCTGCTTGCGCAGTGGCTTCTAGCTTCAGACATACTCTTCTACTCTGCAGATGGAGGTAACAGGTGTCTATGAAACGTCACATCCCTTGAAGAGTCCTGTTTTCTAGCGTGCAACATCACGTATTGGACTAGAAGTTTACAGACGTTTCGGAGAAGCATATTGCCTCCATCTTCAGAGTTGTCTTCTTTATTACTTGTTGATTCCTTGTATTACTCCTCGAGCCTGTAGACGAAGGCTGTACGTCCCTCACGAAACGTCTGCAAATATCTGCCAGCGTAGAGGCCGTCACTTCGTAAAACACTGTGCTTTTCATATTCTCAGCTGCTCGAGTTAGCTCAGTCAGTATAGCGACGCTCTACGGTCTGGGTGACTTCGGTTCGATTCAGATATGAGCAAAAGATTGTTTTCTCTACTTCACAACGGCCAGACCGGCTTTGGGGCCCATCCGTCCTCCTAATAGGTACCGAGGACTCTTTCCCCGGGAGTAAAGCTACTGGGGCGTGAAGCTATTTCTCCATTTTCCCCATATGTCTTCATGGCATGATGCTTGGTTAAGCACGAAGACATCTGAGAACACATAATTTAGCTAGATTCTCGGCGTTTGTGAATCGAACCCAGCTCTCTGATAGGAATGGACTGTGTTCTGCGGAATACAATTGCAGCTTGTTGGGCTCGGAGGGGGGGACTGTCGGTGTACGGTCTGGGCGAGGGGGCGGGCTCGTGTAACTCACGGAGCTGCTAGTCAGTAGTGGCCAGCTTGTGCTGTCGTGCAGATGGTGTGAGGTGTAGTTCCTGTGTACCCCGTTACACGCGCGTTTGGTGCCACTGTTCGTAGTTAAACAGGGCTCATAATTTTATAAATATAATCAGGTTTGGCATAGCAGTTTGACGTGCTTGAAGTTGAATGTGTAAATTGAAAGTGTTATGTTTAAGAAGCCCCGTTCTGCAGTGTCGTGACGTGACGTGATTGAGATCTGAGATGTGATGTATTGAATTTGTGGGACGATTTGTCAAGTTATTTATTCACTGTAAGTAATACTTACGGGTGCACGCGGTAGCGTAGTTGATTAAGGCACTATGCTATGAGACGGATGGTCGCGGGTTCGATTCCCAATGAGATCATTGAATTTTTTTCAACATATCTAATCCTTCCAGCCGCTCTGAGACCCTGGGGTCGACTCAGCCTCTAACAGAAACGAGTACCATGAATCATCCTGGGGGTTAAGGGCGGCCGGCGCATAAGGCTGACAGACTCACCGCCATGTGTGAGCCGATTGTCTAGAAAATGTGGGAGCCTCAACGTCTCACAACCCTATCGGCCTTCACGGCCTGTTACAGGGACAGCTTTACTTTTTTTTACCTTTAGATAATATTTATATATGATGTGATATATTATTCGGGGTGGAGGGGCACGCAGAATCGTAGTTGATTGAGACATTGTGCTGTGAGCTGGAAGGTCGCTAGTTCGATTTCCGACGAGGTCGTTGGTTTTTTTCAATGAATATAATACGTCCAGCCGCACTGTGGCCCCTGGAGTCGACTCAGCCTCTAACAGGAATGAGTACCAGGAATCTTACTGGGAGTAAAAGGCGGCCGGCGCGTAAGGCTGACAACCTCACCGCCATCTGTGATCCAGTTGTTTAGAAAATGTGGGATCCTCGACGTCTTATAACGCTATGGGCCTCCATGACCTGTTGCAGGGATAGGTCTATTGTTTTTGTGACACAATGTTCAATATGGTAGGAAAAATATCGGGAAGTTTTTTGAAATATAAGCAGGTATGCGTATAGTGTAACTGTTGAATGATGTTAACACTTCCAAAGGACAAAGGTTACTGTGGGTGGTGGTACCTACAGATTTCGAAGTTAGGGGTATATTTATGGATTTCATGATTCTCAGAATAAACAGCGTTTGTTCTGTAAACAGAATTAACTCACTAATCTCTGTAATGGAGACGTAGTGTTTGGTTTTGAGGTTCCCAGTCGGTAACTGAGAACAGTTCTCTCTTCTGGGATGTTACGGCCCGTAATTAGTTAAAACTTGTCTGTATTTCGAAGGAACGTTTTGCCTGCATCTGCTGCTTTTTTCTTCATACTGGTTGTTCATTGGCGTAGATCTTGAAGATGGAGGGAGTACGTTCCTCCGAGACGGACTGTGTTCTCTGTGAGGTAGGAACTGATTACTTTAAAAAGTTAGTCCGAGACCCCAGCCTCTGTCACAGCTCTTTGGTAGAAGAATACCCTCTTCTAGGTCTGTAACACCGTGTAATTTGGAAAGAGCCAAACATTTCGGAGGAACTTATTGCTTCCATCTTCAGGACAGTAGAGTAAGCAAAGCAAGAAGCCAACAGAAAAGGGCGGTAGATGTCTTCTGCTGAATTCTTGCTTGGCTTGCTCTTCGATTTCGAAGATGGAGGCGATATGTTCCTCCGAAACGTCAGGCTGTCCCCGAACTACGCGCCATGAGAACCTCTGATCTTTGGCACGTGTTCTCTATACCTGCAGGTAAATTCCATTAACTTTTTTGACATTCTAACCTCTCAAACTTTTGCCACTGCGCTCACAAAGACTCCGGGAGGGGTGGAGGCAGTATTAACGACCGTGTGGTGCACTTCATCATAGATATTCTAGTACAGAAGTTTCTCTTTAGTATTGAAACAAAATCACCGAAAATCTGCCACATTAAGGAACAGAAATCTGGTTCATTTTATCTATCTACGGTTTATTGAATGACCCTGTTATCAGCCAACACTATGTGACGTCGAATTGTTGGATGATTAGTGAATAATGAACGGGAAAAATCTGTAAGGAAGCGGGGTGAGTGAGGAAGACCACGAAAAGCCGTAGTCACGATCCCTGATGTCCCTGTCGAGATTAGAACCGGATACCTCCGGATAAATTCATAAGCGTTACCGCTTAAGGCACCTGGCTCAGTAGAAATGATTTCGGTTATGGACATGTCACTGCTCCCATTACCGCCTGCAGTAGGGAAACTCAATTAGTAATCCGTTCCTAACTAAGAATGGTCCCATGAAGAACCCTACGTCACTAAGTCATTATCGTGAATGACAGTTTGAAGCATAATCTGTAAGTGGAAGTGATTGATAGTACATAGGTCTAGAGGTATAGCAAAGTTGTGTTTAGTAAATAGTTAATGTTTCGCATTGTGTTTCTGCTTCCGTCGTCAGGTAAAAATATGGAACCTGCTCTGTTGGACCCATTGCCCCTTTCAGTATCAGGTAATTTTTCCGTAGCGTGATGTACTTATTAACAGAAACTTTTTTTTTTTTGCCTTTTTATCCTCTTCCTCCTCCTGTTCCACATTTCTATTCTCGTCCAGTTCCCTTCAACTTTCGTCTCTTTCCTCTTTGCCTTTATCTGAATCTTGTTTCTTTCTTTCCTCCCGCTTTCATTTCTCACTGCTTCTCGTACTGTGGTTTTTATTCCTTTTCCAGTTCCTTTTTCTATTCATTTATCTTCATTGTCTCTTCTCTGTTCTATGCTCCTCTTTTCTTTCCTGTTTACCCTTTTCTCCTCCTGGTTCCATCTCATATTCTTGTGTCTTCTTCAGTAGCCAGACTCCCTCAGAACCTGGGACAGAGATTGGACCTATCTGGCGGACCTAACACAGTAGATGTTACACTTTTAGCTGATGATGGAAGCAGAACCAACTTCCGAAACGTCGACTTTCTTTAACTGAGATCGGAGATTATGGATGTCTAATGTTTCAGTTTAATAGCACCTAGGTTACAAACTTTTATACACTTGTAACTAACTACTCCTGTGTGTACAGTAAAACTGTATACCGGATGCTTCATGACCCTGAACTTTTGCCCAGTTCAGACAGGTTTCATTTTAGTACACCCACATGCTTAGTATACATAAAATGTTTCACAACGCGTTCTCTTGTGTATTCAAGTAGAAGGAGATGCTTTATCGCCATTCCTTTTTAACTTTGCTTTAAAATGGGAGATGCTTTATCGCCATTCCTTTTTAACTTTGCTTTAAAATGGGAGATGCTTTATCGCCATTCCTTTTTAACTTTGCTTTAAAATGTTTCAGTAGGAATGTGCAAGGAATCCAGGAAAAATATAATAGGACAAATCAATTTTTGGTTTGTGATGATGATTTATGCGGAGAAAGCATAAATGTCGTAAAGAAAATTACAGGAACTCTATAAAATTTTAAGAAAGGGGTTGGTCTGGAAGTAAGTGCCGCTTCGTCACCAGGCTGCAGAACACCTGCCGTTAATTGCATGACTGTAAAATAAATTGTGTAGGCAACAAGCAGAAGTCATTCTAAATAATGGAAATGAAAATGTTAGCAAGATTGGATAAGGCGAAGCCCGGCAGGGGTCAGCCATACGACCGTTCAAGTGACTAGACTGCCGTTGTAACGGAAACTATTTGAGATAGGGCGTAATCTGCTGTACTGAGCTTGAACTGACGGATGCCTAGTGTATATTATATGTACATACATTTATATGTAAATATATTGTGCACTGTGACAAATGACTTTTTACTGCAGGCTGAGTCGACCCCCAGACCATAGTGCGGCCGGAAGGATTAGGTCAATTAAAAAATTCAATGAAATCGGGAATCGAACCCGCACCTTAAAATTATAAATTTTGTCTGTAGTTTTATCTGGGTGTGATACTATGTCTGGCTGAGGGGAATATTTGGGTCTGAGAGGGAGGAAATAACATTGGAATTGAGAAAAATTGCAAAATGAGGAGCTTCATAATTTATGTTCCTAACGGAATATTATTAAGACGATAAATTGGGCGGAGCTTGTAGAACGGATAGGAAAGAAGAAAATGCATATAGATACTGGATAGCATAAACCTGAAGGAAAGAGACTACTGGGAAGACCGAGATATAGAAGGGAGAATGATATTAAAGCGAATGTTAAAGAAATGAGGTGTGAAAGTGTGGGCCGGATTCATTGGGCTGATAGGGACCAGTGGCGGTTTGTTTGTAATGGACCTTCACGGACTGAAGAAAGTGTCGCGAACCGGGGAGGAAGAGACCGAGCCAGTGTTGCAGGTTATACAGTGTTGCCTGGTTTCTTTTATCGGTAAATTGTTATGCTGTTTATAATTATTAATTACGGGACTCCTCCTCCGAGTGAATCAGCCTGTATTTTGCAAGGATTTAATGCTACATCACGCTTAACGCTTTCCCATTTAAAGTTCGCGCACAGATTCCGGGAAACATGGCAGGGAGTGTATATAAACAGAAAACAAGAAGATTGCTGTCTCCTGGGATTTAACACCGCGAGGTTTGATATATAGGTACTAACGTGTCAGCGAAATGTGTTCCTTCCGTTTTGAGAGTAAACTATATGCTGTGGAGGCTGCAGATTTCAGCATAATCGTTAGTATATATATATAAAATTACACAACCTGAAGATGGAGGCAACAGATACCTCCGAAAGCTTGGTATTTACGGAACTACGCGGTTTCATATCTACACAGTAATGTTCGTAGTAATTGCTTTTAGAACATCAAATCTCACAAAATAATTCAAGTTTGCATTTTTATTTGTAATTTAAGTTTCCGCCTTGGACAGTTCCGTTTGTTAGAGGTATTTTACATTTTAAACTAAACTCGGACCATGGATACCGGTAAAGACAGATTTCTATTTTATCCAGATTATGTTTCGGCAGGTTTAACAGTGCGTGAGGTTCATTCAATGCCCCAGGTAAAAATTATGACGAGTATTGCGTATGTGGGTCCGATCTAGAAAACCGAAATTAACGGCCATGGGGATTCATTGCGCTGACCACGCGACACCCTCTATCTGCTAAAGTTGGTACTAACATCGCCAACAAGCGGCGGTCGCTCGGTCGGTATAGTTCGCTTGCGGACTCAAGCCACGGAGTTGGTTTTTTGTTATTGCGTATGTGGGCCTGTCACGGTAGCCGAGCGGTCTAAGGTATGCACTGTCTTCGCTCGCTCGGAAGCGGGGATAGTGGGTTCGAATCCCATTCAAGGCATGGTTGTTCACTGTGTGTGCGCGCGCGCGCGC